ATGAGGTGCCTGAAAGTGAAAATTCCACAATACTGTGATTCTTTTTAACAAAGGCAACGGGGGTAAATAACTATGAATTCAAACTACATACTGTGTTTTTTCATGAAGCAATTGTAACGAATGTGACTCAAGTTACAGAGTTAGTTGCAAGCAGACCCACAATGGAAAACATATGCCAGGTTGCACATGTGAGGGATCCCAGCAGGCTGTAACCACTGGGCTATAAGCTGTGTTGCAGGACAGTTCTGTGCTGTGGTGGAGTGACCATGGTAAACTACCCTGGTTCAATCCGTTAAACCAGAAAGTACTAAAGGAACAAAAAGATTCCTGGTCTGAGCCCACAGGAATGGGAAGTACAAGAGAGGTTTTATCAATGAGCTGCCTCCTGCCAGACATGACCCGTGGCATTCATTAAACCAAATTATATAACATTTCATCATAAAAAGTGAATTTTCTTAAAATATTCCCATTTTCAGGCTACATCCTACCTCTTCACATGAAGAAATAACAGTAATTATGCATTATTTGTTACAAGTAGTTTGTTCATGCCATTTAAAAGAAACTGAATGAATTGTTTCCTTGGGTAAAACACAGCACTAGTGTGTTTGGAACAAAGGTATAATTAGGGCTTAGATTAAAATCTGACTCTTCTGACAACCATGGAAGAACTTTCTGCAAGAAAGCAAATAACATGTAACAAAACCACCCTCTTCCTTGCCATAGCCCCACAGGAGGATTTAAGTCTTTCCAGAAATGGAATAAGCAATACTCTGGGGATCCTCAGGAATGTTATTAGTGGTTAGTTTTTAACATGATACACTAAAGCATTGTATAGGGATAAAATTCTTGCAGAGTCAAAGGATGTGAAAGTGAAAAGGGCTGAGTCATGGAGAGGCAGAATTAAGTACACAACAGGCCCATTTAAAACCCCTCTGTTATCTGGGTTATGCTGTGCCTTCCTGTTGCAAAATATCCAATTTACAGGACCCTCACCTCCGCGGTACCAGAAAACTTCTGTTACCAGAGTAGCACAACTCTATAGGCTGGCCTTCAGAAGCGTATGATCAAAGGGACTATCCAATTTCCACCCACTGTGTGCAGGCTGCCAATTTAAATATTCACTACCCCTTGGACTGGCCAGCCGGGAGCACAGCAGCAGAAGGGAGTATGAACCACGTATGTACTGCCCCAACCTGGGACGTGTTCTGCTTTCTGGAAAAGGGACAGAGGACTCTGAAGTGAACGTGCTGTGGCTACACACAAAACCAGAAAAGTTAAAGGCCATTTCCAACTCTGCTGCAGTAAGAACACTGCCTGAGTACTGCCTCAGAGAATTGCCCTTGCTATAAGCCTCACAACTGAGATCTATTGTTTCATTATAGAATAGGAATTCATCAAGCCATCAAGTATTAATTTCCTTTCAAACGCTGTTGTTCTATTAGGTGTGCTCAATGGTTGGTTATTTTCTTCCCGTAGCTGAAGCAGCCTTGAAAAATAGTGATAAACTGAACAAATGGGAAAAAAAGGTTTGGGTTTTTACTACTGTTGCCTTGTGTGTTCTGCCTTCAGAAGGTAGGAAAATCTCAGGTGTGCCCTGCTAAATGTGAGCACTTTGTTTTCCATATGTTACCTCGTTCAGAAGAACACACCTCTTCATCACCAACAAATACCTGAGGCAAGCTCTAAAGATGTTGTCTATTTCTTTGTATTTTGCTGCCTGGTAGAACGTAATGGTCAAAGATGCTAAGAAAATCAGACATCTTTGTAAACGAAATATTTTTGCTTGGCAGTGGTATCCAAAATAAGCTGTTCCACTGTAGCCAGAACAGATTAGAGTCCACTGTGAGCTGGATGTGTGCTTTATTCCTGCAAAACCATAGCGCACCAATTGCTAGATTAGTGTCAGAGGCACTCTGCAATGAAAAACTCCTTCATGTTCTACCTTAAGGTCCAACATAGCTCCTGACCACAGGAACTTGGCTGGATATTGGGCAGTTCTGGAAACACTTTAGGATCCCATCGCACCTGGTGGCCTCAAGAGGCCACTTAAGGATACAGGGGAGCCTTCTGCACCTGCACAGGAAGTCTTGGCTGCATATTGGTTCCACATTGCTTTTACTTTCTGGAGAGCAGAGAATATGTAAGCTCTCCCTATGGCGAACATATAAAATAAGGAGGATACTGGATATTTTCGTACAGAATAGTGATGTCCCATTTATTTTTTTTATTCACATAGTACTTTGCTTTAAATAAACACTTCATTGAGTTAATCTCAAAAGTGACCTGACTACAAACTCAATAGAATTTAGCTTAATTTATCCATTATTATCAGTATTATCCAGAAAAACTTTGTTGTTGTCTTGCAGGTGTTTCCTCAGGCACTCTTAATAAGATGCCCTCCTTTTCACTAGTTATCATTTACAACTAGGAAAAATACCATAAACTTAACACATGCCACAATTTCCTATCCTAATCTGGTTTAGTACTGAGAATAATCTAGTGTTCCCTATGGTAGATACACAGATGTATTTAGATCTCCTCCCACCATTCTGTTCTCAGGATTCTAGGTATCAGTTTCTCTTCATCTTTCCAAGTCTGTGCTGCTTTTTGCTGCCGTTTTTGCTTTCTTTCCAATTTATTAATATCCTTGTCATAGCACGGTGTCCGGCACTTCACAGTAGCCCAGCTGCAGCCTCACCACCACCGAACGTGTGTTACAGCAATGGCATTTCTATGCAGTTTCTTCTAAATGCAGCTCTCATGGAAGGAGAGTCACAACCAGTTTATAAACATCTCAAATCGTGTAATTAAACTTTAAAGGAGTAGTGGTGCTTGGCTCTTACCTGTGGCTTTGAGCGATCCTTAGAACCACAGGGGAGACAAGCAGAAACTCAGTGACAACCACTGCTCACCTCTAGTGGTTTTTTAGTTCTTTCCATTGAGAGCCTATTGCATTTAACATTCTGGTTTTCATTCTTTTGTAGAGTGCTACAATAAGAATTTCATAAGCATATGATTTTCAAACATGTTTTTATTTTCACTTTATCCTTCTCCTGAAAAAAAAACCCAAACTCTCTAGGTTTAACTAAATAGGTATACGGAAAAGGGAATAACAATGTGTTCTAGCACGTTATGGAATATACAAAGCTTAGATTTGTTCCTTACAGAGTTTTATTTACCCCTGAAGTTTTGATAAAGACACCATCAGCAATGATTCTTCCCTTTTTGGCTGTTAGACTTCAGCAATGGTTAATGGTGCAATGCCTGCTGCAAGGAGCTGCTCAGTGCTGTGGCTGGCAGGAAAGCTTGAAGAGCTGAAGCCCTTTAGAAAGACAATAGATAGTTGACATATTTTTGCTTCTTGTCAGCTAGTGCTCTCCTAAGACCTTAGACAGCGTGAGTGAACGTAGGAGGAAACAATACATCTGGAGACACTGGCAAGACAGCGTTGCTTGCCAAATTTGGCCACAGTTCCTTTAGACAAATAATTTCTCAGTGACGTGCTGTGTTTAAATTACATAAACAGCAGAAATGACCAAGACCTGGGCCCCTGGGGCTTGTGGGCTTCAAGAGTTTCTGCAGTCAATATTCTGACATCTGCAAAGATTTTTCTCCAACAGCTGATGCCAGGAACAGAGCAACGTTACCCCCACTTTGTGTGTGCTGAAGGGTTTGAATAGATTGAAATGATGTCTCTGCAGCCCCAGCCCCGGTCAGGACCTTTGCACTATCAGAACCACCAGCTCCTATGAGAGGGCTTATACAGGAGTTATCAAAGCAGCAATCTTTGCTCAGAATGGCTTATAACCTCTTACAGCAACTCCATTAGCATTTCAAGAAATGCACATGGAAAAACACTGTATTAAGTTTCTGTCTCCAGAATTATCAAGGGGTTTAGAGTAACTTCTGCTGAGCAGAATGTAACTTACTTTGCACATTGAATGTATGGGGTTATTAAGGTTGGTTTTCCTATTTAGGAGCAGACAATAGCTTCTAACTCTGCGGTAAGACTTCCTCGATAATTAAGATACTTCCACTTTAACAGTTATATACGCTAGAGCTATCTGCAAAGTGTTTCTATCACTGAGGAATTTATGCAGGAAACACGATTCTTCCTGACCAGCAAGATCCCACAGGAAGACCTTACCTGACTAATTTTTATAGAACATCTCTAGACAACCTTCTGAAGTTATAAAAACAAATCCTTTATTTAACAGATATTCTTTTAAAAAAATCAGTTCCCATAACAGAAATCAAACGTGTGCACATCACCGGAGGCATTCTGAAGGCAGGAGTTGTTGAATACTGACAGTTATCCGTGGCACTGAGGGAACATGGGCTATGTAAAACAAGTAACTGCATTTATTACTATTGCCTGCATAGAAAAGACCAGACAGAAACAAGAAATGCACTTTAAAAGCAGTTATGCTTTTCTTTTGATGACACAACCCCAGCACCCAGCCCCTCCTTCAGCAACACTCTCAGAGAAATACTGCTCTCTGGAAATAGTCTGAACCAAATTAACACACTTGGTTCCATTGTCAGTCCCCCATGTACTCCTCAGGAACAAGGCAGAGAGTTGAGACGCAAGTATGGCAAAAAGTCTCTCAAGCACTTTCAATATTTCAGTCATACCTTAAGGCAAGTTTGTAAATTTTAAGGGAGTATCTTGAGAATTAAGCACAGAGCTTGTGAAATTCTTTCTCTTTGTAGTTTTTGATCAAAGTTAACTTTCTCACAGAACAGGTACGCACAGCAGTAACCCCTTATAAGTGTCTTAGGATAAGACCATGTTAGTGATGTTTATGTCATTTTTACATCTGCAAGTATTGCTTAAACTGACATTTTCAGTCCAACTATACAAGACAACTTCAGTAGCTCTGTGCACAGTGTGATGGCATTGCACTGAGTGTAAATGTTCAGGACAACGAGGCAGAACTACCTCAGTATCCCATTTCCACCTAAAATGCACGAAAGGAAGAACAGAACACGGGATCTTCTCAGAGTTTCACGTCTTTAAAAAAAGGATGCAGCAAAGCCTCTTTTGCAGTTATTCTTGTCGCAGGGTTTAAGTCTAGCAGCTTGTCAAGTAGGTCATATGCTTCATCGGGAACCTGATCCCATCCTTTCATGTCTGTTGCCTTCGTTTCCAAAGCACCATCACCTTCCTGAAAGCTCTTTGAGTGCTGAATTTGCTTTCCAAGTGGCTCAGGAGCACACAGTTTGTCTGGCAAAGCTGAGTCACTTCCAGCCTTGCTGGGCACTTCACCCTGGGATCTCGTACAGCTGCTGTGTGTTCCTCTCAGCTTCTCGCAGAGGGTTCTCAAGTTCTGTGCTGGGACAACCTGAGTACACAGAACTGATTTACCTAGAGATAAAATTAAAGGAAGCAATGTTTTAGTTTCTATACAGCTGTAAAAGAATTCTAACTTTGTTTCAGAGAAACTTCACGCCTTGCACCTCTGGAGAATGCAAATCCATGCTGTGTTACACTGCCAGGTAGCAAGTGCTGCAGCACTTGGTCTGCAAACAATCAGGGTAATGGTTATTTTAGTCCTTTCTGTGTTTGGTGGGGGTTTTGTTGTTTGGGGTTGTTTTTTAACAGGCCATCTGTTGGGGTTTGGTTTTGTGTTTTCTTTTCCTAGCCCTTTGGGGAGGGGAGGTGGGCAGGAAGCAAGGTTTACATCATCTCAATATTAAGTCATATTGACATAAGCCTCCAGGGCAAATTTTGCAGGAATAGAAACATTTCCCTCAAGAATTCTAACTAAATGCCAGTAGAAAACATTTAGTTGGCATGTTTCACCTCAAGTGGCCTTGGCTTAGTGAAAGGCAGTAGAAAGGTTGGGAAACCTATGGCCTGAAGTACCCCGTATAGGACTTATGAAAGATAGAAAAATACAAAGCTTTCTTAAAATTCTGTATATACAGACTAGTACTTTTAGTGGTGTACATGCAAAAAGTGTGATTTAACCTCCAAGATAACTTGCAAACCTATAAATGTATTTTTATGTGTGTATATATATACATATGTGTGTATATATATATATATATAAAAAATCATAGATGGTATGTCACTGCACTAAATTGCAGACCAGGCATACATTTTCCCCTTTGCCCATAATTAAGGTTTACATACCAAAAGTTTTAGCAGCTTGAATGGTTTCTCTGGATCCACGAACTGTCATGATTTGTGCCAAAGCAGTTAAATCATCACTTGCTTTGTAAAATGGATACCGTCCACTGAGCAGAGAAAGGAACACGATTCCTGCAGACCACATGTCGATTGCTGCAATTGAAAGCAAACTTAGTGATAACTAAATGCAGGGTTTCATCACAAACAAAACCACAACTTCCTGTAAAAAGAAATTATGACCTGAAGGGTTTCCGTCAGAGAAAGTTCTGTTCTGAAGCACTGACTTTGGTCACATAGATAACACTTCAGCAGTGGAAATAGCTATCATTAGATTGAAGATGCAGAGGGAGTGTTTGAGCTTTTCCATAGAATTCATGTGAGTAATTCCATTAACTTGATAAACTTACAATGTGCCAAAACAATGTTTGAGGTTGTTTAACCTATGGTGATGAGAGGGGGCAAAAAAAATGACTAGTTTTGATATGAAGAAAACCTTATCCAAGGATCATAAATAAAAATTAATTCACAAATCTGAATATTTCTGGCACTGAGTTAGGCAGTACTAAAAAAATTCATCTTACTATGAACTTTGTTCCTCTGGAATATGAAATCATTTGACAAGATAGCCAGTTTAAGAACTGTAACAGTAGAAGTTATTCATCGCTTTCTTTGTGTTATGAAGAGTACAGAGAGTGCTCTGGGGATGGACTCCAAAGCTGATGGAAACTTTAATACTGAAAGTTATGAGAATACCTGTCTGCCATAAGTTTTTGGCTCACTAAGGTGCACAGTTTGTGAGATGGCAAGGAAAGTGCAGGAGAGAGTTTGAAAACCTTTCAAACTCTGAAGAGAAAAAACCTAACAATTGAGAAATAACACCATGGATATTCTCCTTCTCCTCAAAAAAAAACTAGTAAAATAGGCAGTGTTAATTTGAATGCTTTAGTTAGAAACACCTTTAGCACAGGACTTCAGGGGGAAAAGAAGTATTAAACTGACTTGAGCTGCAAAACCAGATTCTAAGTCTTTTAAGAAAAAAATAACCCCCCAAATGAATAATTTGGCACAATTTACAGTGGAAAAAATGTGTATCTTCATAGTTCCTGTAAAAAAAAGTTATAGTATTACTGTATCACTGTTGAAAAGACCATACTCTCTGTCTGAGGTGGTGTACATCACCTCAAGTATCTGCTTGATCAACACCTTTAAAGAAGCTTAATTACTTAACTCTTGGTGAAATTTATAGCCATTATATATCTGAACGGCTGGTAAATCCTGGCCCTACAGTTCTGGTAGAGCTGGGATCATCAGCACACTGCAGTGACATCAAAGTTAGGACTCCTCTCTATGCTTTTATCTAGTGTCAACCAGTGGGGCAGACTAAGGAAGGGGGAACAGAGGGACAAGCCAAGTTAAAGTGTAACTGGAGCTGTAGAACATCAGTTTGGGGGGTTAGGTTGTATTCCCTGCACTGTGAGCCTGGGTCAGATGCAATGAGGTAGTTCTGGATAGAGTCAGCTGGGTCCAGCTGGTAACTTGGTCTCAGCACAGAGACCAAAACTAGTAGTAAGACTGGCAGGAATACAAGGGGGTGACTGCAGCAGTCCCAGATGGAAGTGGACAAGATTTGTTAGTTCAAATACAGCACCATCTCATAAATATTAGTATTAGTCTTCCCAGCTGTAATGAAGGCCTTTGTTGACATACAAGAGCTCGGCACCACTGAGTCAGTATTTTCAGGGCTGTCTGTGCCACACCCAAGGCTTTCCAGATTTATCCATATTTTCTGTAATCCTGCTCTCCATTAGAGAACAGAAAACGGTCTGAAAGCATATTTAGCAGCAGCATGTGTCCAAGATTTCCTAGGTATGTCTTCTTTCTGCCTGAATTCTGTCTAGACAGATTTGGATTGTCTAAACTTGTCCTGGATTTCTGGATGTCTTCTGGCCCATAAAGCTGGCTGTTACAGCACAGGCACAGTGACTGCAAACAGGCTGCCGTGCCTCTCGAAACCCCAGTCATACCCACAGCACAGATGTTGTTTCGATAACATTAAGCTATCTGGGGATAAGCTGATCAAAGGCATCGTATGCACACTCAGAAGAGACTTAACACACTTTCAGTACTGCAAATTGACAATTTTCTCAAAAGGTATTCAGCAAAAAAGTGGCTGAAAACTGCTATTTTAAATCAAATTTTTGACAATGTTTGTATTTATCTCCCTTTTCATAAATAACAACTCCTGATCATACACCAAATGTTTAACAGGTAACTTTGCTTTTCTTGGTCCTGTATTCTCCAGGTAGGCACAACCTCTCCCATCCTACCTGCACCAGTTCATGCATTAAGCACCCCTCTGCTCTGCACTGGTGTTTACCCAGACTGTTGAAACTTCACTTGATAGTTTTTAACCCTGAGAAATTAAGAATGTAGTAAGAAAACATTCTGACCTTTACACACCAGCTATTTAAAGCACTAAAAGGAAAAAATCTGATAAAAAGTAGTGACCAATGCTTTCCAGAACACATTGCAATTGTACCATTAACTGTGCCTGCTGTGACAGCAAACTACAGGTGACAATCTGACTAGAAGTCTGAAGTATGTCCTCTCTCTCAGACTTATTCAAGATTTTACTTGAATAAATAAGCCCATAAGCCAAGAAACTTGGTAAAAATTACAGCTTAGTTTTCTTTTAAAACACATCGTATTCAACTCCTGCATATGGCACTGCCCTTCAAGTGAATAAAGACATATTCAGTTTTCAAACATAGGAAAAATACTCCTAACTTGTTCTTACTCTGAATAATAGTTTTAATTAAAATCAGGAAATGCTTCATGAGTGTGAGAAGGGATGATAAAACGAATCTCAGAGGTAAACAAAAATCCTCCCATAAAGAAGCCAGCATAAGATGCATAAGTAACAAGGATCAAAAGCTGAATAAGGCACTGATTTCGGTCTGTGGTGCAGTACCTGTGGTCTGAGTGGGGCACTTTGTCAGTACTTCTGGTGCTCTGAATCCAGGTGTTCCTGCTCTGGGAGCAACTTGCTGACACCTTGTAATAAGAGACAAATGCGTTTAGAGTATAAAAGTTGATAAATCAGATCTAACCACAATAATGCTAAGTATTATTTTCTACAATACACTTGTGTAAGATGTGCAAACAGCCTAACCCAGTCTTCCTCCAGTTGTATAGAAGCTTGAAGTGTCTTATAATTACCTATCATGAAATTATGTTGCATTAGATAATTATAAGCCTTATTATATTATTATATTTTATAGCATTATCTAGCATAAAGTAATGCCACACAAATACTGATTGCGTACTTCACTCACAATGACCTTTTTAAGTTTCATTCAACAGCAGCATCGTTTTTGCTAAAGGCTTGTTTTCATAGGAGACTTTAAAGTTGAGACTGTTTAACCAAAGGCAAAAATATGCACTAGATTCTTGAATGTGGCTTGCTCTGGCTTTGTATTAGCCCACAGCAAACTAAGGTTTGCTATTTCTGAGTGCTGACAAGAATTCACTTTTCGTTAGATTAACTAAGAGGTGTGAGAGTATCATCATTTAAAAAACCCCAAAATACTTTCCAGGGCTTTCTTGTATGACTTCCTTCTGTGGCCACTTCTGAGTCTGGCAAATTCCTTGCGTCTGTATTTGGTATCACTGCATTTTGACAGTGTGGGGAGAGGGGACCCCACAGTTTCATTGCTACGGCTAGAAAGCAGAATCCTCTGCCTTAATGTGTGGGTAAAAGGCGGTAGTAGGTGATAACCAAAACTAACTGCAGAGGGATGGAGTTCAGCTGAGTTACTAAGATTCTCTAACCTGTCTATTATTAAAATTATTATAAAAAAGCATTATTTTTTAAATGAACAAATACAAACCAATCAGGTTTCTTTTTTACTGTACGTTTCATGGTTTCCGGAATCCAAACCATTGGCATGATTTAGGCCTATTAGATACATAGCTACTAATGACAGATTGATGTATTGTTTCTGTTAAATGTTGTAATTAATTCAAGCAATTTTCTACAACACATGAAGGTGGATAATTAAATACAACAAAATCATTAGCAGTGAATCCTTCCTGCTGCAGATAGTGAACCAATTACTCCATGAATTCCATGAACGCTTCTTGTTTAAAAGGAGCATACTCTGAGTTTTAAAGGTTGCACAGATCAAATGCTATCTTTTACCTCCTAAATCAGCTGTCCAGAAATGCAAGTTTCTGACCTTGCTTGACAGCACAGCAGGCAATTTTACAGCATTATCAAAGCAAATTACCTTGAAAGGCAAACACTGCAAACTCTGTCCGTTGCGTAACAGTCACAGGCCAGGTTTGAGGGACAGGCACTGGCAGCTTTCCTGGCTGCCCCATTGCTCACTGCTTTGGTAGAAATAATCTTCTTCTTTGTTACTAACTTCCTAGATGAAACATCTATCATCTTGGATTGTTTTATGAGCTGCAACGTAGATATTTTAGAGAAGGTGACATATTTAAGACACTTCCCTTTACATACAGATAGGCCAGTTCCTAAAATACTAAGACTGAAGAGATGCTCATGAGCAAGATGGTGCAATTTTGGAACAGAAGACAGCAAACCTTTTCAACAACATCTATAAAACACCCACTGGAGCTTTCTAAATATCCTGGTTTCCTCCCTTTTTCCTTCAGAAAACATTTTCCAGTGCTTACTAAAAACCAATATACATTAGATATTCTGAAGCTACAGCACAGGTATTTTTAAGGTTAGTACAGTGCTTCAAGAATTCTTTTGGCTCAACATAAGAATAAAATAACCAAGTATATGAAATGCCACAGCAACACATAGGAATTAACTCTAATTTAAAATGAGATGGTCACTGTTGGCCAAACCCTCTAATTTAGTCAGGGTTTCCCCCTTGTCATATTAAATACTAACTACAAAAAGTGCAATAAAATATTTACCACAAGTTTTATCTCCAGCTTCAACTGCAAAATAAAAGAAAAAGGTTTCACAAGCTAAGTGTATCTTAGTTGTACAGATACATGTGTAGGAGAAAAGATTATTTCAGCACATAAACAAGATGAGCTCGGGAGACAGCTACTTAACTAGTTCTTGAGGAGTTTCAAAAGGGGCTGAAACAGACATGAAAAATTATTCAAGCCTTTCACCAAAGACACACTTAATAATCTGCTCAAAAACTTGTAGTTCCGCAGCATCCTGGAGTAGTGTCCAGTCTTGCAGAACAACCAGTCCTGACATTTTTCAGACATGTAACACATTGCTCTTACTGGTAAGTCACACTTCTTACTTTTGTACTCGAGTTCTCTTGGAATGTGGAACTATAGACATTGAAATTCCTCTCTCCAAAGACAGAGCGCTGGACGGAATGGTGCACAGAATCCTCCTGCAATACCAACAGAAAGGACAGTAAGGATCCCATCTAACACAGCTGGATACTGACAGTTCAGAAAAACAAAGTGTGAAGTGACATAAAACAAGAATAGCAGCATGGTAAGTCATTTTCGGGCATCAATTTGCTGGGGATGAGGAAAACACGGTCTAGACAGAAGAGCAAACATGCTTACAAAACCAATCACACCTCAGAAGTGCCCCAAGACAATCTGGATGTCATCTGTAACTGCATTTGTTATGCAGCTAAGAAACTAAGCACAGATGAATCATTACTGGCTTGGAGAAGAGTTCCACAGTACCTGTCACTGACAAGTTAAGGTTGTCTAAATAGCAACCCATGCTAGGGTTTTACACAGCCTTTGGCACTGCATTGTATCTGACAGGTAATGAGTGATGCCAGTAAAACCAGCCACTCTGATGCGAAAGCTGTGGTTCTGTGCATCACATTAGGACCCTGCAAGACGTGCATGCACAGCTTTTGTTCTGGTATTACATCTCCCCCTGATGGATGAAGTAATACATTAAACATACAACAATATTAATGAAAAAAGTCTGAGAACCTTTCCTCCTCTTCCTTGTTTAATCTGCATTTTTGATAGTGAGCTGGACCTTTTATCAGCTGCTTTTGAGGCTGACTGTTGAGCTATCTGTGCAGGTGCTGTGACACTGACAAAAACCCCATTTCCCAAGGCTATGCTGGGATTATTCTGTGAGCAACCTCCCTGCTGGTCTTCAGAATGGGCAGTTTTGAGAAGTTCGATTTTTGTATCAGGGGTTCCTTGTGCCAAGCCAAAATCTACCAAGGCATACCTGAAAGACACAGATTTACAATCAAGAGTCACAAAGTACCCACCAACTAGTTCAATTTACTATTCGTTACTTGTTTACTTACCTTTCTTCCAAGTTTTGCTCAATATATTGCTTATCTATACTGTTGCCAGCATCACAGTCCTACTTTCCTCTTCCTCCTCTTGCCCTTTCTTAGCTATCCCTTCAATGTTTTCACCCTATACCCATCTTACTTCATTAATTTTTGCCTGAAAATCTTCTCCGCTTTCTCCAGTGGTGGTAAAAAAATATTCCCAGCAACTCATTTCTGGGATTCTTCTAACCCTACAGCTCCAAACTGCAGCTAACAACCAAGAACAAGTGATTTGACCCTTGCAGGACTCCCATGGTCAGAGGACAAACGCAGCATCACGGAGACAAGACTAGCAATGCTGAGAGTTTTGCCAGGCTTCAGCCAATACTTCTGGAATTCCGTTCAGCCTTCAAACAGGTCAGACCACATTAGTTCACACTTCAGATCTGTCTTTAAAAGAATTATTTTCTGCTACAAGCAGTGCAGAGACAATACCCCTGACTCTGGGTCTGAAACTCAACTCCATGGCCTTCTCACTCGAAGTAGAGATTAAGGCTCAAAGAAATACTTGGAGAGCAAAACAACACCACAGGTTTATTTTGACAGATTAAATAAATAAATACTCAGTATTTCTCAAATTTTTAAGCTTGTGGTTTGGCAAAACATTATCAAATCTCCCCTACAAACTTTTACTACATCAAATTATAGAATCATTGTCCTCAAATCCCTAAATACCAAAATAAAAATTTTATAAATAAATATTTTTTAGCTTTATTACTTAAGCACATTTTATGCAGCTTGAAGGGGAAAAAAACCAGAAGCTTAAGTGACTGTGTCCTGCCAAGGCACACATCCCCACATGGGATCGCAACGTGGGCATCGGGACAGACTTACTGCTTCAGCTGCCTGTTGTAGAGGAAGTTACTGGGCTTGACGTCACGGTGAACAATCCCGAAGTGGTGAATGCGCCTCAGCGCTTTGAACAGATTGAACATGTATTCCCTCACTTCTTCAAAGGAAAGAGAATGCAAAATGTCCTGAAAGATTATTTGGATACTGTAATTACGCAACTGCTTTCAACTAAAGTTTTACTACACGTAAAAAGTCTGGCACTCACCAGGAAGGATTCATGTTCCAGGTATGGCATAACTATAACCACATGATCATTCTTCCTAAAGCAGTATTTAACTCCCATAACGTTATCTTGTCCCCTAGAAGAAAAGTAATGTCACTGAATAAAGACCAGAAGAGGGATCTTTATTTCCCTTTATTTCCTAAAAACTTCAGCCAGGCTTTCTTTTATAATCTAGTTTATATCTGGACAGCAGTCAGTTGATATGCTGGTGCCACTCACTGCTACGTTCCATTTGCAATTTGCAGTGAAGGCTCCACAGATTATGTCTGGGGCCACGGTTTGTAGTTACCGCTGTAATTAAACGTAGGACCCAACCTTTATGATACCAACTCCTTTAAGAAGGTGCTCTTCAGCACACTCTGGTAACAAGTATTAACTCCTGAAACCACATTTTCTGATGAAGACTTTTTTTTCCCCCAAAGCATTTCAGACCTGGAATTTTTGTTATGAGAGATACATCACAGAACTTCTCAGATGGAAAATACATCTGCAAACTGAGACTGGTGAAAAAGGGCAGCCATTACAGGTAAGACACTCCATTTCTTATTTGCTCTTGCTAAAAAGAATATACGTTTCTGTGCTTAAAGAAAAGGCAGGTGAAATGACAGTGAAAGAACAGTGAGACAATGTTCAGCAGTTTAGCCATGACAACCACTGTTTCTTTGTTTAGGTACCCTGCTACTGTGAGGCACTGAAGTTCAGCAGCAATTCGCAGAGGGTGGCTGGTTGGAATCAAATGTTTCAGAGCCATTTTTTCCTCATGTCCTGTTTGTAGTTGTGCTGTGGCCAAGTAAACAGAACTAAAAGTACCTGTAGAGAAAGGAGAACACTGTCTTCACCATTTTTAATTAGGTCAATTCAGATTTCTACAGACGTGATCTAACTGTTCACAATCCTGCTGCTCTGTACTTGATGCTACATCAAAAGCTGATTCAAGAAAACTGCACTTCCTTTTTTCTACTCCTGAATTCAGTGATCTTGTATACAAGTTTTTTATGTCAGTAAAAATGCAACTGTAACACTGTCTAACTTGCCTGGGACACAGAGCTCTTCGAATGTAAATTTCCTATCTTTGATTTGCTTTCTTGTTTGGGTAGCTTACTTTCATCTGACATCTAACTCTTCTCTCCCTACAATGTAAGTGGGCTATACAATGCTAATCTGGAAAGCACTGCCTTTACTATTCAAAGCACCTCTAAAATTGCTACATTTCTCTTAATTCTGTTCCTTCATCTATAAATAAGTCTTCTCCGTGATGTCTAACCTTAGTTACTATTTGTTTGCCCGGAGCATTGCTGCACAGACAGAATGTGATAGACTCATTTGAGAAACTCATTTGAGACTCACTTGTGATAGACTCATTTGAGAAGACAAAACGGAGTCTTCAGACTTACCCACCCATTTCATTTAAAGGATATCCTAATATACCTCCTGGAAAGCTAATTTATCCTAATGATCTGAGATACCTGAACGCACAAGGTGAAGCATTCTTCCACATGAACAAACAGTACAGATTACGTTTGATTACGTTAAATATTGTGTTTGCATCATGCTAGTTCAACAGTCGGTGAGTGCATGCATGTATACATCAAAATGGCAGCAAAACATCTAAGTGCTTCTTGCTGTCGTAAAATACCCAGAGTCCCATACACCCAGTGTCACTGATTACAGCAACTGGGGTTACCAAGTTGACCCAAGACATTATTTGTGGTGGTGAGAGCTGCTAAAATGAACGTGACTCCAGAGTGGAATCCTAAGTTGTTTTCCCACTTGCTGCAAACTGCAAGTGGTACTTTTTAAAAGCACTGTTTGCTCCCAAGAGCAAAAGCAAGAGCATTGTCCTTAACCAGAGACTTTGTTTAATTGTACTGTCTTCTTTATGATAAGCAGAATGCCTTTTGGAATTGTTTTGGTTTAAAAATTGTTATTGCTGAGATGAATGGAGCTGGGCTTGGGAGGGGTTTTTTGAGAGGGTTTGAGACAAGACCTTTTAGCCATCTAGCCTGTGATCACAGGTATTGCATCACGAAACAGCCATAAAACAATCCCGCTTCTCAGCAACATCTTTGGTTAGGAGTGTGCAGTGTCATAAAGCATTTCAGAGATCAGTGGGTAAAGTTCCAAAAAGTGCTGAAATCCCTAAGAATCTATGTATAGAAATACCTAACATTTATTGAAGGTACCTGCAATAGTGTCTGTTCAAGGTAAGGTGAACACAAGTGTTCTAAAATTTGATACCAGAAAGTTCCTTTTTGGTTCTTTAAATAAATAACGTACCAGGAAGTACGTTTTTGGTTCTTTAAATAAAGCAGCTATAATCTTTCAGTCTCCTCCAGTTGTGCCCACAGGGTTTTGGGAGAAACAAAGCCACATTAAGGAACTGCAGTTAAGTATGTCAAAACTCAGCTGCATATGAACAGGTTTCTCACGTAAAAGAGATATAGAATGAAGTGCTAAGACATTTGTTTGAGTCGACCTCAAAACTTCTTAGTTGTCAACACTGGAATGCTGGTTTTCTGAAAGGCTTTAACAGATCAGATTTTCAAGAAAATATCTTGCAAATATCCCTATATCACACACCTATATGCTCAGCAACATATATACAGAAACTAAGAAGTAAATGTTTAAATTGCATATATTGAGGTCTTAGATTTACATCTTTTAAGTTAGAAATACCAAAACAAACCTAAGTTTAAGGTAGCTAAAATAAAACATTTACCTTCTCCAATTTTCTCCTTGATTTTGAACACATTTGCAAGCTGTGGCACTGCTTCGTAAAGCTTTTCAATATCTTTTTTGATACCTGCTGTGGAAAGAATTGGAAAAATAAGTTAGGAATTTTACTGCTTGATTCAATATCTGACCTCTATTTAAGACCACAAATCATACTTGAGTGCACAGGACAGTGAATTTACATACACAGAGGAAAATCTGGTGGAGAGACAGGGATCTGCCCCTGCTGACATTGCCATTACCTGCAGCTCCTGAGAGGGCAAAAGCCTTCTCGTTAGTAAAACATCACACTGCAGCTCACTAAATGTTTTCATCAGATCTGCAGTGTCAATTACAGTAAAAGACAAAACTACAACACTTGCTTCTGCAAGCACCGGAGCACATCCATCAGACGCAAACCCAAAACAGAGGAAATTCCTCTTTTCAAGCTCAATAACGCAATCCTTCACACTGTTACTTCAAATAGCAAACACCAAACCCCATGTTTGCTCTGCGTTGAAGTTGCTGCACTTCCTGCTGCGATCACTAGATGGCAGGACAAGGATGTGGTACTGTAGTATTGCAAAAAATGAGGCGGCTTTCCGCTCAGTTTACAAATCCTCGTAGTTTAAGCGTCCTCCATCCCCTGCACAACAGTTCACTTTGAAGCTATGAGGTATGTAGAGGCTGTGACTCATTTCGGTAAAGCAACGGTGGAGAATATTTGATCGTACAGAACTAAACACAAACTGGTATTTGGAAAGTCAATCAAATGGAAGTTGAAAAATGTGTGTAAATTTTTTTCATCCTAAAAATAAATAATAAATTAAGTTTAACATAAACATTCAAATTGTATCCAGTAAAATGTGTTGGTTTACCAGGGCAGGAAACCATCAGCAATGAGAATTATTTTTAAAATGTCACTGATAGGCTAGAAACAAAGTATGGATTAGGATGAATCCCCAACCTCCTGTGTTAGCTCACTTTATACAGCAACAAAACCTGAAGTCTGCCTCAGGAACTCTTTCTTCCTGACAGAAGCACACCAATCAGCTGGTAATTCAAGTTACAGGTAACTTCTGACTCTAACTTTTCTTATTTCAACATTTTTTACAAAACCCAACATGCTAAAAATACTTTGAGAGCTGGAGCCTGCGGCCTCTCTTGCTACCCACTTACTTACTGTTTTTCTTCAAGGTGACCCCTCTGTTTCTCCAAGTTACTTGTTTTAAGTCATTTCAGGGCAGGTATTTCAGGAATAGAAATAAAAGCCAAACCTCTATGTTACACACCAAATCCTCTAACAGTCATTTAAGATACTTTTGACCAACAAAGACAAGTAAAAGGACAATCAGTTAGGCTAGGAATTATATTTAAAACCTGCAAAACTGTCCTAGGGTAAGAATGACCAGACTTGACTGTTAGTACAAGATGTACAGGACCCTGGGTCTAATAATCCCTGAAGGAAAAGGTTAAGGAAAACTGGTCAGCTGGACAGTTATTCTGGTTATTCCTCAGTTCCATAGGGTGGAATTGCTTCATTTTCCTGTCAATGTAGTAAAAATTTCTATTGAAAGTAACACTGAAAATTTGGGAAGTTACTACTGATATTTGGACTATGTTCCATATTCCCCACAAATACTCAGAGATGTTAAGGGATGAAACCACGTAACAGAACTACAAAGAACTTCACATTGAAATGCTGCTGCATCACTCAAAGACATAGGCCTTTCCCCTCAGGAAGATAATCCTGTTGTTGGGTTCTGAAACATCCTACACAAACTTCATCCCAAGAGGTCAGTAGGCACAAGACAGAGGTAGAGAATTGTCTTTCATAGCACTATAGCTCTGACAGGCTCTGTCAGAACAACATTGTTTAGAACTACTTTGCTATCTAACCTCCTCCAAATAAACCAACTTGCAGTTTTGTTCCAATACTTGCATTTTAGTCTGACTTCCGATGAGAGCCGCTTGAGGTTCAGTTTTTACTAAAAGAAGAAAACATACTGACAGTAACTTACACCATAAAACTCACACTGGAATTTCTCCAGTGAAGTTGTTGGGTACGAAAAAGGACTCAGTCCTGGCAAAAAGCTAAACTCCTAACAAGGACTAGAAGGCACATCTTCTACAACTTTAGAAACCAGCAGATTTACCACGTCAGGTTTTGAGTTGTTTTGTGCCACCAGTCCAGCTGCCCTAAGGTATCATGAAAAGTTCCCTCAATAACTGCTATATTATCTACCAAATACTGAGTTTCGTCTGACCCTGAATTCAGGTTCCTGCCTGGACACAGTTCAATGCAACAGGGTGACACAAGCTGCAGGTCCTAGGCTGGAGTTAGTGCCTACCCAAGGCACTGAGAGTATTTAGAGACTCAACACAGCCTCTTGTGTGAAAGGTTCCCAAAAGTGCTACAAACAGTCAGCAGCTGTCCTTGTTGAGAGGCAGCAGTATACACATCATCTGTTCTCTGCTCGGGGCCTGAATCCCCAGCTGCACATAGAGAACATACAGTGTAAGAACAGTAATAGCCAACATTTCCTGTGAGCAGATTTTAAACTCATTTCCTTTACTTCCAGGAATGAAAAGCATTAGCAAAAAGTGAGACAAACGTTACTGAGCGTCGGACATGGATGTGCAGGGGAATGACAGGACTATCTGTTTCTAGGAAAGTCAGTAGCTGTTGTACGTATCGTTTTATTCTCAAGGGCTGCCTTTTCTGAGTTCTGGTATCCTCTTAGAACATTCTGTAATAAATGTTATAATGAATAGTAGGGTGAGCACGCTGTGACAAACCGCTGCTGCTGAAGTTCTGTAACACACACAATGCAGGAATAAACTTAAAATCAAAAGCCACCTCAACTGTTTTCATTCCGTTACTGCTTTATACAACAGGATCATATACAGAGAGGCTTACAATCGATCCTGAAACTTCCTGAAGCGATGAAGAAACACGTCAGCAACAAAATGTAGTGTTAGCAATCCCTGGTTTAGCACGTACCTGAGAGCTTGCCGTTCTGCTCCTGCTTTCCATGGAAGTCTTCAGCCTGATGAGGGTGCTGTTCATCACAGTGAGACCTCAACACTGCCTCCATCACAGAACAAACTGAAGTGGAAAACCCAAGATTGTGAGGATCACTTTGGGACGCTCTGGGAAGCAAGCAGGACGGGTAGGACACTTCCTGAGATGAGATTTAGGGAGTCTGAGGAGTTCTTCTGTGCTACCCAAAACAACAGTGTGTCACCCATCGTCCCAGAGAAAAATTCAACCGCTAAATCCACTCATCTCTAGTAAGAGGTAAAAAGGGGGAAGGGAGGGAAGACTGCAGGATAAACTTAAGACACAAGTGATCTTCTTTCATCTCTTGTGTGTTTCCTCGTTCACATAAAAGCATTATCTTTCCCCTGAAGGTTGCTTTGAAAGGCAAAGAACTGAGGCACACAGAAATAGCTGCGCTGCGTTCTGCGACACGCATAAAAGACAGACAGCCCGAGAGAAAGTGTGAGAGAAAAACAACGTATCTTCTCAATACCAGAGATTTCTCTCTTCTAGATAAGATTAATAAAAGGCATAATTATGGGGTGTTCTCTCCAATAACAAGAAATCATAGAGTATGCTTATTTTGAACTGCTTCTTCCCAAACCTTGCAAACTGTAAATAAAACTGTAGATTAGTAAAGTGCACTCATATTGTACAATCAAAATCCACTGATAATCCTAGTTCATTATGAGTGGCAGAGCACCCCAGGGCAGGATAACCAGAGACTGGTGTGCCTGGAAGCACCACCTCTCACAGCTGCCCAACACCAGTTCCATTCAAAGACCTTCCTTGCTTGTCACTTTGCCAAACCTTCCAAGTTCTGGCTGAACTTTTCCACAAAGGGGAAATGTATCCTGAAAAACTTCAAATCAAGGGATTCATCTCTTTGAGCCATGGAGCTAGAAATGTATTTTGTCCCCAGAGAATTTGAGCTACCTTTAGTCTGTCATCCTCGTGCAACAGAACGGGGACAGGGAACAGCCTCTTCTTTTGAAGGAGCTTTGCTGGAGAGTGGGACTTGGAAACTAAGGGAATGAAATTAGAAGTGTTTCTAGTCTCTCACGGGTAGACACTCCCTCTGCTACTGCTGAGTAGGCAGATAAGCCTGTTCCAAACCTGAAGTAGCGTGGCCTCATTAGCAGAATAAGGAGTGCAAATTAACACAGGCATCCCCACGGCCTCCTTGTTCCATTCGGCCCCACGTCAGCCTCAGCTCTTACAGTTCAAGGCTGGCTGCAAACACGTTGTTGGTGAATGCTGCTGCCTGCAACCTGCCATGGGAGCACGCTCAGGGCTTGCTGGCCATGAGAGGGGTGAAGGGGGCCCAAAACCCCAAGTATCATTTCCATTCATTTACGGTAAACATACAAGTTACTACCTGCAGAACCAAATACGTGAGTACATTAACAGATGGTTTACTGATTTGGAAGTGGGCTTAACAGGTATAAAACGGAACATCAAATTTGATTCAGTCACATATTTAGTTTTCATATCAAAAAACCACTCAAAAGGCACCATCAGAGATAAAAAATTGAGACAAAATGATCCAAAGTCTCAGCTCAAAGAACCTTCTTGCAGTTAAATCACATCTTCAATTAAAAAAACCATGTTCTCTGCAATGCCAAATTAAAAAACCCCACAGACAACAGATAGTGACTGACTCAAACAGCACACATGGCTTCAGGGGTTTTAGAGCCTGATATTTGAACCGTGCACACAGAAATGGGAATTGCTGCTGAATCCTTGGCTAAAGCAATGCTGCTACTAAAATGCGGAGCTCCTTTAAGTGGAAACTTACAGACACCCCTGGAAAACAATTAATGTGCCAAAAATAAATGTTGATATTAACATCTCTACTTCGTTGAATCCCAGACTGGTTTGTGTTGGAAGAGAGCTTAAAGCTCATCCAGCTCCAACCCCTGTCACGGGCAGGGACACCTTCCGCTATGCCAGGTTGCTCCAAGCCCCTGTGTCCGACCTGGCCTTGAACACTGCCGGGGATGGGCCGGACACAGAAAGGAGACGTTGTGGCTGTATCAAGTCTCGCAATGAGCTGATGATTTGCACAGATGCACAATAAACCCGTTTATTACAAGACAAGCGGCAGAGCTGCAGTTTGCCCTGACGATGCCACTGCCGCCAGGCGGAAGAGGAACATGTGGAGCCCGTCACCGCAGCTGGCTCAGCACGGCAGCGCCGGCAGCGAGACCCTCGGTCTCCGACCCGCACTCTGAGGGGGCGCGAACTGCAAACGGGCGGGACTCGGGCACCAAGCGGCGATTTGGGCGTGCGAACGGTTACAACGGGGGGTGGCGGGGACG